TTAATCATGTGATTTTATATGTTTTATATAAATATAAAAATTTGGCCACTTTTTTTAAAATTTGCTGTGACTAAGTGATCTGAGCTGTATAACCTGTGCTTAGTTCTCTATCCATATATTTGGGATATCCGAATAATCTGTAAGAATATCCAGATGCTATGCCTCGTAAAGCATTAAGCCTCTATACCCAAGTTTTATATATAAATACCTACATGATTTACATGAAATTTAGAGAAAATTTCTCTATAAAAAAGTACAAAAAAAAAATGAAATTCAATCTTTTCTTGCTCTTCCTAATCATCCTTCACACTATTGTCACTTTAGCAGATCCATGGCACGAACAAGAATGTGATCCAATGTATTCTTCTAATTGCAACTATTAAAGTTAGATAGATTTGATTAATTTATAATATATAATTTTTTTTAATGTGCAATATGTTTACTGTCCATTTCCATTTTTTCAGCTTGATATTTGACCGATTTTTTAATATATAAAAATTATCAATCTTTGTATATTTCTTTTAATATGTAACTGAGCAATCAAAGAAATTTTGAATAATTTTATGATTAAAACCATTTATAGTATTTTCCTTTGAGTAAAAAAAGTAAGCAGATTTTCGTAAATAAAATATTAGAATAAATATAAAAAAAAGATTTTCATCCAATTATTTTTTGATGATTACTTCATTATGATACCATCTTTTACAATTCTATTTATATAAAAAAGTAATGTGAAATTTAAGTATAATTTCTCTAATGGGATTTACAGTGATTTATTCTACCAGATTGTAGTTCTACCTAGCATAATAGTACTTTGTATTAGTGTGTAAAAAGGTAAAAGGTTATCAAATTGTCGATAAACGAAATCATTCATGATATTAAAAATATTAATCTAAGACTTTTACAATGATAATGCTATTTAAGTATCCTCTCATTATATGATAAAAAATGACAATTGATACTACCATTTACCATATAGGCTAATTGGCAGAATTGGATCCTATATAGAGACACTAGATTTAAATTAAATACTATATTTAATTCTTTTAATTAGTCTGATAAACTATTGGAGTATTGCAAGTGTAATTGTTTCGATTTTTTAAGGGTCTATCCTGTACTATTCTACATAAAGGATATAATAGATTATGTGTCAAACCCATTAGACTATCATCAAATCCATTAGATTTTCGTCAAACATATTTAGTTTAAACCTACTGAGATATGTCATTTGACAACATCGTATTGTTAAAAATTAAATAATTTTTAACGTTTCAATCTTTCTTTGCAAATATAATTGTAATAAATTTTGCTAATGGAAAATAAATAATATTAAATAAATGAAATTTGATTTTAATTATGAGTTCACAACCTATTTCTGCATAAAATATAACTTCTATTTCTTCAATTCCTTTGGTCACTTGCCCTATTTTGTTTCCAAAATTTTAAGTCAGAAAAAGGATTCAAATGATACTGTAATACAATTAAAAAATATAATGTGTCTCACAGAGATCTTGATAAAATTCCACCCAGAATATCATACGAATTTAAAAATATTTTAGTTCAATAGATACATTGACAATTACCATTAAGTTTTACTAGAATGGGAAAAAAAGTATTATCAGTCCTATGTACTGAAAGTCAATTCGTTGATATTTTTAAAGGTTACATTCATCAATTTTCAAAAAATCCATGGGTATATAAATGTAAATTTTATGGGGAAACTGCATATTTAACTTTATATCAAATTTTGGAAAATTCCAAATGGGGCAAAAAATGTTATGATCAAAATCAACAAACATATATTATTTTAGAACAACTATCGAATTAAACATATAATTCTAATATTAATATAGAACAAGATAATGATATTGATCCTTTAGAATAGTTAATAAAATTAAATAATCAAAAAAAAAGCCAAAATTATCTCGTGGTTAGCTTCTAATAGAATGGAAAAAAAATCATTAAAGAAATGGATGGAAATATTTGCATAACAGAATTTATATACTTATCTTTTTATATATCGCAAAGACGTGTACTTTTATAGCATTATTTATGATATTATAAATAAAGTTATGATATTAAAAATAGGAGAATACGAGTATAATTATCTTAGCAAAATCTTTCGAAAATAATGATTAACTTGGATTTATTATTGTAAGTATAAATAAAATTTAATAAAGCATATTCAAAAATCGAAAAGGCTTTATTTATTTTGTTAAATTTAAAAATTATGACCAATATTTAACATTTTTTATAGTTTTATTCTAAATTTGCAAAATTTAAATAATTAAGATTAAGCTAAATGCTGATGTTATAATATAAAATATTAGAACTTCTATAATAATAATTTGCCTTCTGGAGCTTTTTAAAGTAAAAAAAAATAAAAAATAAAATAAAAAAAAATAGATTGGCATGAAAAAATTAAAATTACTTCACTAGCCGGTCTTTTTTTGTATCAGTAGTCATGTTACATTTTATTAATAAAATAATTTTTTCGTAAATGATCATCAGTTGATCTTAAAATGTGATAATAATGCATACATTGATATGTGTAACAATATTATGTCGGATCTTTTTAATCTTTTTAAATTTTGTCGTAAAGGATATTTGATTTATAGAAAACGTTGGAGTCTGCTGTTAGAGACATCTTCTAACCTTTTATACTTGTCTATAACATTATTATCAACCATGAATGCAGAACGATCAAGATGTGATATGTTTATGTTATTCCAGACGGGACATCTACTAAGAGCGACGTATGCCTGACCGCAGTGTTGTCATAGAACATTTTTGGGACATGGCCTGGGATATTGGGACTTAATGTAAGACATTTTTAGGACATAGTGTGGAACAGTCTCAAAATGTTTGAGACATCAAAAATGTATATTACTACCTGACTATGAGAAAATATATTTCCGTCTAAGGCAAGAGTTACCCTCAGAAGGGTTAAGCTTTACATTTTATGAATGGTAAGAGCAAATGAATTTTGCAAGAAGAACTGGATAAATTGACCATTATATCTATTTAGTTGGAAGTAGTGGGTCTACTTGTAGATAACTATATCGACTATTGAACGTCTTATAGAAAATGCAACCTGTACCAAATCTTCGTCAGTATCAACATCGGTGATTACTCCTATTGTATCGTTACATATTTCTTGGTCGATGATTGTATTATTCAGATACATCACTCAAGCGTCCAGTTGAAGACGAACGCAAGAAGGGAGATTTGTCTTCAATTTAAAGATATGATCAGAAAAAGACAATTCCCACCTAACAGAATCTACAACATCAATCACTTTAGACATGATGAATTGACCATCTGGAACTGGAAGAGTATTACAGATTATCATATTGATCTGTTGTGCTATTTTTCTGAAACTGACGATATGGGTGGTGTTGAGTTAGTTTTGAATCGAAGACCTAGTGAAGAATTCAGCATAACGTCTATTAATATATTTCAAGTTTCAGCAGATATAGAATCTATTCGAATATTTTGCAACATTTCATAGAATACGGGATTATTCTGTTGACATTGTGGATTTCTTAGGAACAATAGATAGAATAAAGGCTAAGCTACTAAGCGAAAGATATATAGACCAGTTATTGGAGAGAGTTATGCTAGGTCACCTGTAACAATAACGTTTATACCACCAAAAAGAATGGAGTTATTGTGAAGGTTCACGAAAGTATTGGAGATGAAATCGAAGAGGTTTACAGAGATCATGAACACTTCATCAATAATGAGAGTGTCGATATTTTTTAGTTGATTATTTAGTTCAGTATCGGCGTAAGCATGTGTACGAAAGGTCCACCGGTCGAAGTGATATGCAAAGCTGAGTGAATTGTTTGTCCTCCAATATTTTGGGCTGCCACTCCTGTAGGTGCAAGTAAGAGGTAAGTTGATGATCGTCTTTTTAGCATGTTGATTATCGTATTAATGATAAAAGATTTTCCAGTTCCCCTAAGCCTGTGATGAAGAAATAAGGCCATTTGACTTCATCATTGGGATCTATGTAAGTAGCGATTATGAATAAGGTTCGAAATTGGACTGGTAGTAATTCGAGCATGGCTGTCATAAGACAGATGTGAGGGAGTATTTTTAAATCTTCCATCTGAATTTGTATTATGCAGTGAAGGTTAGATGAAAGTTGGAGGGTTAGAGAATTTAATAAATGATCCAACATCTCAGCGAATTAATTATTTAATCGAATCATTCGTAATTGATGTTGATTATGAGTTTGATCTCAGAGTTCAGATAGGAAATCAGGGAATAATTAGAGGAACTTTTCGCAATAAGTTCCATTTTGTTGACTCTTGTAATCGTTCTCATTTCTCACGAGAATGGTCAACAGCAAACGTTAATAAAAGTACAATTCTCCGTCTTCTACATTGAGAAAACGGTGCCTGGTCAAGATATCCTTCGATTGTTTAATGATGTAGTTGGATAGGTCATCTTAGTGGATTTGTCGAGAGGTGTTAAGAGGTCTGGATAGAGAAATCGAATATCTTTGAAAGTATTCATCATATTTTAGACCTTCAAATTCAGGGGAGTGAGAATGCAATAAATATTTTTGTAATGGTATTATCGTAGAGCTCCGAATCAGGTCAGGTCAACCTGTGACCCGACCCGACCCGACCTGAAAAATCCAGGTCAGGTAGACAAAT